CGAACAAAACGAAGGAGAGAAACAGGCAGAGAGAAAAGGAAGAAGGAATGTTTTGTCTAGACAAGAAGGAAATGGAGAACACGAAAAGAATAGAGCGAGGTGATCGTGGTTGGCGAATGTCCGCTGTGTACTTCCACGTCGACGTTATAATATGTGAACGTAAAACCAGCACTTTCTCTTCCGCGAGCCTGCCTACACGATTCTCAGCTTTAGCACGAATAGTCTACTCGTGTTGCGGTATCAACTGTTCCCGATGACATTAATGACCGGAGAAGAGCAACGTCGCCGTCCACCTTCGAAAGCTGAATAATCGACGACGACGTCTCCAGCAAACACCACGTCGCATCGTATCGTGATCTAGCGTATAATCCTAAGAATTAACTTCACTTTTTCTTGGTCGATCTTTCATCTTCTTTTTTCTACAGATTAACGCACCTCTGAGATTCTACGACATTCAAAACGGTCAATTTCTTATACGCAACTTGCTATTTATACGGTTAAACTTATTCGTAGATAAATCACCGAATGTCTCGGATGATTCGGAAAACTGGTAATCGACGACGAGATACCGTTATCCTCGGTATTTTAACCGAACGAGTTTAATAAATGCAAGCATAAGAAGACTCGACGCGATAAATCATCGCTGTACGACAGGATTTATACGTGTGTACCATGGCAAGAAGGGTGTTCATAAATTGCAAGTAGAAGTCAAAGTTTGCCAATTAGAATAATATGAAAACCGCTCGGTTCGAGGATTTACATGAATCGTCTATTCGCACTACCGGTATCAACTCTCCTTCGTGACAAATCACCAGAATGGAATAATGCCAACTTTGCGCTACGCGATTAAGATTGTCGAGCACACAGGAATATCCTGAATAACCGTTGGCGTACATTACGCATCGATACTAATGGAAAGAGTTGCGTATAAAAATTCAGCTCGAAGAAAATATCATCTAAATAAAGAATCCCCGATTTTCTTGCTTTACATTCGGTTAAAGAGAACGAGGAAAACAGTCGGTTGAAACTTCGATTAACACTACAACTACCGCACCAGTCAAATTGACTGCTTTTTACAATTTTATTTTAAAATTTCTACTTCGTGTTATATTTTTTCCGCAGTGATGTAATGACTTACGCAACGATAACCAAAAGAATAATATAATGAATTCTATTTTGTTTTTTATGTATTCAAACTGAAAATAATTTTGTATCAAGGCGACTTATACCAACACCGGTCAAAATAGCTGGTGCTTGTCAAAGTATAAAAGGATCCCGCGATCTGTTTATCCAACCCCAATTAACCAGTTCTCACGTTTTGTACAACTTGCCACACGTTTTATAAATTTTTACCGCGTATCGTTCGATACGATGATATCAGTTATCAGGAGAATTCCGGATCGATCGCTAGATCGCTAGATGATAACGCTAGAAATACCACACCAGTGAAAACTGGTTCTACAATTTTATAAATGTGCCAACCATCGTTTAGGGATCATGGTCCCAGATGGATTAATAATACCAAAAATGTCCTACATAACATGGAATTGCTTCTGTAGGAAAGCAATAGATCGATAGATATAAAAATATTCTATTATTACGTATTTTTTAAAGACCAGTCATTTTGACTGCTTTTTTGGTAGAAATAGCTTCGTATTAACTATCGGTAGTGTTAAGAAAGTTACGAGCATAGATTATTCTGTTTCGTTGCTACGTACTTGCCATATACTGTGCAAATAAAACAATTCGATCACTGGTTACAATCTTCACTAACTATAACCTGTTGTTGTGTTCACAAATTTCCTACTGTATAAATATTTACACAGTAAAATGTGAATCGTAAGTTGCAATTGACATAATTCAGGACGAAACATTCGCATTGAAAAACGTTCGAAAAACCAATTGCGGCAAACGAAGTGCAATTGCATATTTCGACTAAAGTACATTTATATACGAGCATTTACATATAAGCAGCGTCGTAGACAATATATCGTTACTTTCTCTTTTAGCTAGGGATCCATCCAAAGCAATGTATATATTTCCATAAATACCTCTTTTTTACAGCTTTCTCTCGTCGAAGAGGTCTGTAAATGTTTGATGAAAGTTCATGGATCACGCAAAAGGTTACTGTACATATTTCTTTAACAAACATGACACACTTTACTCATCCCAATGCACATCTCGTGTTTACATCTACCGACATGTTCTTTCTTACGGTACAAAGTCAAGAAACAGTAAACGTGACTAAATGAAAGAAAAGTTCGTCTCCTAGTAATGTCAATATACACACATAATATACTATTATCGTTAATACGCGAAAGAATAAGATATTATTACCCGTTAAACATTGAAAAAATACGCTAATAAATAACCGTAAAACGTTCTCTCTTTATTCCAATTATTCATATACAAACACGTATCGTATCTTGTTATTCATTTTGTACAACCAGCATTCCAATTAATTTTACAATACAAATTGTTCGTAATATAAAATAGAACAGAAGACTCCATTACCGTTGTTTATCGAATTACCGTTCATCCAACCTACTTGAAACAACGGATCATATTTCCACAATTGGAAACCTAACAAAAATTTAGCTGGCTATTAATATCATGATATACACGAGCATTTTTAGCCCGTAGATATCCAAATTTACAAACGCTAATTTTCAGTTCCAGTGGCTTTCGTATTAACTGTCCTTTGTTTTCATTTAAAGTTAAACTTGCGTAAAAGTAATGTACAATTTCTGGTAAAGAAAAAAAGAAAGCATATATACCTACTAAAGGAAGAATTTATCAGTTAAATTTGAATTTTCATTTAAGTTAAAAATATTCATCGAGCATACTAAACGGACCTTGTTATATCTCGATGAGCAATTCAAGCAAGAAGCAAGAAGAGCGTGCCACCGATCTTCGAATCATTCGAGTTATTACAAAAGAAAATAATTCGCTTATTATGAACAACAGCCAGCCATCGTTCGAATAATAGGCGTTATAGTAGCGATCGATTTAGATTTGCTACAGACAATTACGAATGTTCCCAGCCACTGGACTGTCATTAAAATACAATGAAAGATGCCGAATAAAGATCATGCTTTATTAGTAAGCCCTTACTAACGAAGATAACGAATCATGGCAATGTAGCGTACCATATAATCATAAAAATATACAAACGCAGTAATTACTGTACAGTGCGTGGAATATAATTGGTATGCTTCGAATTAAATTTAGATTTGTACAGAAAAGTGAAAAATATGGTAGGTGCAACGATATCCAGCGATGCCCTTACCGTGAGTATTAAAATAGAACGCAAAGGTTCAATACGCGAGTAATCAATGTGAAAACACTGCCACAAATCTTATCACGAATCTCATTACGCGACGTTTATTTCTATTTAAACGCAACTTATGTTTGTGAACTGCGTACGCCTGTAAATCATAGGTGTCACTTGTAGACACTATCGTTGTGCATACTTTCAACCATCTGGAAACAGTACAAATATCCTACTGTTGAAAATATTTTTAAAGTGTCATTTTATCGCTACACTCCCGGTAATCGGATTGTTATAACCATCAAAATATTTCAAACATTTTAATCCGATTTATATGTTATTATACACTGCAAGTCGGTCATTAACCTTACTATTTTTAACTGCAAACGCTGTAAAACTTTTGAGAAAAAATTTTCTCGTATCGTCATAACGATCATGCATTATACAAAGAAATATAGTCGACACAATCGACAATTTGGGATATTTCCCTGTAGCCTGATACAGGCCCAACGTGACCACAAGCTTATCGTGTTCGAACACCACGCGTCGTTACGTTCGAATCGTGGGGCCCCTCGGGCGAAAACCTCGAAACCGGTTCTGAGCGTACAGAATGGCTGGGTAGCCGGTCAGCATGTATATATACGACTCGCTACAACTTTCTAAACTTCCGTCGCGTATACCTAGACGCGTACGTTCAAACCGTGCGCTTTATTTTTCATTTTTCTTCGTCGACGTGTCATGGTGAAAACGTTGCAGAAGAATTTACCTCGTTAAACGGTCACTCCATCGATGCTACGCGCGCATGTTTAGTGTGATCCCTAACTCCGAAAATACTATACTATCCTGTTACAATGATCCGTAATGGAGTGTGAACGACACGAAACAAATATAAGAATGTATATCAAACTTATGGACACGATGAAACGAATAAAGAATTTCATTGGTTCGTTTATTTCGGAATAATACGCAAATGAACTCGAATATTCGTTCGATTGCAAGCACTCATCTCTATTTGTTTACGTTCTTGATCGTATTGGACACAAGTTCTAAGAAACGAGGGTGTGAGAACTAGGACGAAGAATGCTTTTGAACGATGAGAACACACTGTTTATGCGAATCTTGTCACCCTTCATGAATGAGATGAAAATGTTCGAAAGCGTTCAAATCAAATATGTGTATGTTTATATGGCTTGATGCGTATCTCCGAAAATGCCTATTCCAATTGTTCCGAAACGATATAGAAAAAGGCTTTTCCTTTGAAAAGGGAATGGTAATGGGAGAAGGGAGTGGGGAATCGCTTTTCTAAGGCGTAACGCACGCTAGGACCAACGCTTGACACATATCACAACACGACGCGACGTTGGCGTCGTCTCTGTACACGTGTATTTACTATTTATGACAAAGGATAGAGCAGTTGTACGAACGAGAATAAACTAACCGTTATTGCACTTCGTGCCAAACGCCATGCGATTCTCGCACGCTACCAGCATTCTTAATTGCACCGGACAACGGTTCGTATTCACGACACTTTCCTCCTACTCTAACTCAGTGACTGCGAGCGTTCGTAAACTTCGAAACAGTGATAGAAGACCCTAAGGCGGAACGAGGGTCTTCTATCACCGGCACTTCGCGTCGACGATCAACGATTCGATGACGCTTTTGAAACAACTAACTCGAGCCTACGAGGATTATGTGGCCGGAAACAAAGGTGCATATTTTTCAAACTTACCAGAAATATTGTCTGGATCGGTACAAAGTGTATTCTGCCAGTATGGGACAACCCTCGGCGCGTAGAAGTAACTCACAAAAAATCCCAATGGGTGTTTAGTGAAAAATCTTCGTGGTAAAACCTACGCGAGATGAAACTATTTCCCTACCATAAACGAACGTTAAACACAGAAAAATAACACTGAAAAAACATCACCGAACTCACTGTCCTTTTTAATAGGACGTCCCACGTAATTATAAATTCCCTGGCGATGCCGTGTGGGCGGGAGACGCAGCACAAAACGAAAAAAAAAAGAAACGAATTTGATCGGCACGTAAAAGCTTCGGTAGCTATCACGAGAGGGTACACGAATAGGACGGAACGAAACAATACGCGCGCTGCTCGAGACGCAACTGCCGCCACTACCGACTCTATTTCCCGCTGTACCCCACTTCTTCTCCCGCGATCCCCACCATCTTTCTCTAGCAGTCAACCATTCTCCCCTCTGCCCTGCTGCTGCTGCTGCTGCTGTTGCTGCTGCTGCTCCTATCCTTTCCGACCATTCTTTGGTCCCTTCTTCGGCCTTCGACGATTCTTCGATACCTATCCTGCACGCAATAGTATGTACTTACGCGACAAAGACCCTACAGACACTTGTCACGAACGTACTAATACAAGCACACTCGTAACCTGAAAATTTTTAAACGTCAAAACAATTAGTTTTACACGATAAGCTTTTCGCACGTAATACGTGTAATTCACTATCTAACGACTATTTGTCTTTATAAAGATAATCATTTCTAACGTCTATTTACGTTCATAAAAACATTTACACGCGCGCGAATACTAGTACGTATACTACTAATCTATGTGTGCTTTTAACGTTGTAATTATCATGGGCTAATTTTGCTTAAAACCGTTTGTACGGAAAACGATATTTTACTTAATATACGAAACGTATAATTTTGATCCTTTTGACCTGGAGATGTTCTCTTTTTCTTGAAATAATACGATACTGAGTTGGACGCCTACTTGCATATATGCAGCGCGTAGACGCTCTAATGGACATTACGTACGGCGGCGTGTGATATGGAGTAAGTAAGTACAATTGTTCAGCAGACTGCGTGACGCTGCACACCGAGGGCGTGGCAAAGTGTTCGAGTTGCTAATAAAGCAATTTATCGTTATGCAAAGAAAATAACGTTTCATATTCATTAAAATACTTTCACAATCTTTCTAATAACTTCAAAACGTCAAAACGTAATAACTTCAAAATGGTATAATATAGATCGATCGCGTGGTAACACATGTTACGGAAAAAGAAAACTGTAATTCTACTTTATTCGAAACAAACATAAGAAAGTTTCGTTCATAAACGTTTCTATTCGCGACATAATAAATAATGAGTTTGACGAAAGAGATCTATAAATAAACTTAATAAAATAAATGATAAAAGTATATATATTTAGCACTCTACTAGCACTCAACTTTATCGATTATCCATTCTTGCGACTCCTACACGTAAAATACACGTTTTATAAGAATTTACTTTTGGAATATTAAATTCAATGTTGGGGTTTAAAAAAAAGTCGTACAACGAATGACCTTCTATCTATATTGTAATTTTACGTAGACTGCGTACGAAACGAAACTCGGACTCGCATAAAATGAATCATTGCCGATGACAGTCGTGAATAGATATTAATTCGCGAGACACGAACAGTAGCAGAAAATTTTGTCTCTTCTTTGGAGTAGCTTTGTAGGCTGGCTGAAGGTATAGCGCAACCATTGGAGCTCAAGCTGACGCCGCGTAACCTGTTCTCATTTTTATCGTCAGCATCAGGTTTCAGCGCAGGTGAGCTGCGAAGGTGCTGAGTCGAGTCCAGCGAACCAGCTCGTGGTTCTCGAGCATTTCCTTCTCCCTCATCATAGAAACGCATTGACCTTCGGGACAAAATGCCGATGATCAATGCAAACGTTACATCGTATTAGCGTTATTCGAGGATATAGCCAGGATTATGTGACTATCTAATAACTAGCAGGGATCTTAATTAATTGCAACAGCAAGCGTCTTATTCGCTGTGAAATTTAAAACCACGCTCGATGACCGTCTGCTGTTCTTTCGACTCAACGAAACGAACTTGACCGATACTAAAAATGAAATAATTTCCGAACTCGCGTGCTGCTATAGCGCACTTTTATGTACTTTTATAAATAGCTATGCGTGTCAGAAAGAACACAGAATTTGCACTCTTTGATCATTTATAGTGCCTTTACCGCGTATCAAAGCGAAAAGTTTGTTCGCGTTCAAGGAACTTGACGTACTTCGTCGCATCTGGAAAAATTCTGTATCGTAGTTTGATAAAAATGAATATGCGATTGGGTCGTAAATTATTAATGGATAGAACATGATGATGTTTACTGTCATTTCTATAGGATTTTATTAACATTGTTACTTCAGTAATATTAATTACAAATACCAATTTTTAATGTTCGATAGTAAAAAAAAGAGAAAGACGTTTAAAAAAAGAACAAAAGAAAAAGGAACGGGATCAAGATCAAGTACGTACACAATTTCGATTTTACAGAATAGCATGACAATGAGCGGCTGCATTATTTAAATATAATTCTACCGCTTTAACGAACGCGTGATAACCGATTGCTTAAACGGAAGGATGACGATACTTCCGGCGTGAAATGATTTATTCGATAAATGACTATTCATCGGCGACATCGCCAGGTACACCGATAAAATAAGCGGAGTTGAATAATATGGGCCTACAGATGACGTTTTGTATGATTTATACAACAATTGTACACTATTTAAACGTCGCAGGGCTTGACAAACTATATCGCAATGCAGTACGCTCAAGTCAAGTGCGATGGAAGTATAAAATTCTAAAACAACCCTAATCGGGTGCCCAGCAAGTGTATTTCAGACTACGTATTCTACACGATTTCGTAAGAAATAACGTTATTCCGCTTGGTATCATGTCTTTATGCACTAAATAAAACAGTAATTTTGTTATTCAATCCGAGATACTCATCTTTCTTCTCTTTCTTCTCTTTCCTGTCCTATAATAATTTTGTAATGAGCTACATGTTATTTACTTATCAGACAACTAATCAACTAATTCATTTTGTGTTACAGTCGTTACACTTCGTGATACATATGACACTAACGATCGGTACAGGGGATCTCGTAATCTCTATCATTGTTATCTCCTCCCTCCCATCTCTTTAACCCATCTTCTGCCGTAAGTACATTGGTTACGACCGAACAGAACATCGAGCGTATTATTTCTAATACTTCACTTACACGCTATTATGTACAGTTATGAATACCGCACCGTGATTCGCGTGATACCCCCGCCCCCCTCAAAGACCATTGAGTACCATTTTACCGGCACGATGCAATTATGAAAGACGAAAGTGCTGTTCAAAACCGGTCGATTGCTTGACGCATATTGAGAGACAGAATAGGGTAGTAAAAAATAGTAAAAGAAATGAGCGAGAGAAAGAGAGAAAAAGAGAAACACACAACAGGAAACGAGAAAGAAAGTAGAAGAAAGAGGGGACGCGTATGCATTCGAAATATGCTGTACAAAAGTTAGTTTCTATCCAGTTTTATAAACGATCGGTTCTAGTTTTCGGCGAGCACCGATCATTTTACTATTATACGTTATCTTTGCGGAGTTTTCTATAAAATCCCTCTCTGAAATATCTGCCGTTTATAAAACTGGACATTTGTCGAACAACGGTATAAATTTTTTTTTTTCACGAGTTACGTAATAATTGCGATACAGATCAATTTAACAGCGGCTACGTGAAAGCCAATGGAAGGGTAACATCGGACTCTTTTTATTTCGGTACTATTATGTACCATAGACTATTCTAAAAGATTAATGCTAGAGGAAAGTGAATATAATATTTGACGATCGAGTAGAAAATTTTTCAACAGCAATGTGAAACAAATAAAAAAAGTAATACACATATAAATAACGATAATTAAAATTATCAAAGCTACGATTAAACGAACGAAAATATTTCGTATCTTTCAATAACGATCTATTAGATCGACCTTTATTTTTTTAATTAAATTTTTACAATCTTATATCCTCTTGTAGATAAGATACTTTCAAATAAGTGGAGATGTAGCCAGAAACCATCGAACAACAGAAGCCATGTATCATAAATAGATAATAAAAATATATTCACTTTCCGTTCGTTCATACCATCACAATTATACAAACATTTAATTTCAGTGTATACTTGTAGTTTGAAGACATTCATAGCAATTTATTGTTTAAAAGACAACGAGGACGGGTAGAAATGTTCACGAGAATGCAAAATTAACAATAAAAACGAACAATCCCTAGAGAAATACATACATGTACAAGCGCCGATTCATTCCATTGGCTCCGTACAGTCATTTCACGTTGTCGCATACATTATACATACACTAGTAAAGAAAAAATTATTTAATTGTACTGTATTTACATTATCGAGATATAAAAATACTAACAAGAAACATACCTATAGACAAGATCCTCCAAACGATTCACCTCTTTAGAAATAAACTAATTCATAATCAAGTTTGGCAGTAATATTGTCCCTATCTAGTTGCATTCTTATTCTTATTGTTGTTTGCAAGACCATCATCTCATTCATTGTCATTAAAACATAACGTTTTTTATGACGTCTTACACTTACACATTTTCTTAACGCTATCCATTAACTTTTAGTCTCTATCCTAAATTTTTTGCTACCTTGGAAGATTTCCATTGCTCGCTGCACAGGCCTTTGCTGTGGGTTAATACAAAAACAAATGTTTCCATTATCGGTACAGCTATCATATATTCCGGTCTGAGTGACAGCGATTTACTTATAAAATCATGCGATTTCACGTAACATTTTTTTTACCGCTGAACCTAATTTATAAAAGTCATAAAAACACGCAATGCAAAACACATCCCACATTCATTAACAAATCTATTAATCGTTACTTATTCTCTTTTCTTTCGGAGAAATAAGTTTAAATGCATAAGAATATGATAAAATGATCAACAACAAAAGCATTTACAAAGTTGTTTGATTTTTTGATCAACCAATAATAATATAAAATTATATCGATGTTTAAATTAACGAGTATAGGTTCAGCGAAGAATTTTAGTGCCACACACTTGCTAGAATCGAGTATAATAGCATTCGTGGTAGCAGAAAGTATTTCAATGTAAGCTATATTCGACTCCTTAGTCTTAAAGAGAATGATGATAAAGATCAAATAATAGTAATAATAATAATAATAATAATAATGATAATAATACTTGACATATTTGTCATAACAATGTTTCACAGCGTACGCTGCGAAAACGACTTACAACAAACGCACGCATGCATCAGTATGTGTACGCATGTGTAGTAAGAATATTCAATATGCACAGATATATTATCTCATATCTCTAGAAATATAATAATTTTTATGTATATATCGCATATGTATTTATGTGCACAGTCTCACTAGCACTGTTACAGCCCGAATAAGTGTCGTGCGTATAAATCTATGATTTCTTTAAAGACAGTTATGTGGAAGAATAATGGAACGACAACTCGGCGAGACACGTGGAATTCATATTATTTAGTTAACACTTTGTCTCTAAAGTTGCTTGTTAAATTTTATCAGGATCGATTTGTATAGTTCTCGCTTCAACTTCTGAATAACATTTCCCGAGCATTCAACTGATGATGTCGAAAGTCCAGTTTGTTAAATACCATAGTTCCGTTCTAATAAACGAATAATTCAAGATTGCTTCACTTGTTGACAATGTTGCACAACTCACCAACGCTTCTGCTTCGAGGTGTATACCGTGATTTTTGAAATTGTTTTACATTTGGTAACAAATTAGTTTGCATTGATGTTCTTTCTGAAGTCTTGGAACTAATGTCTATCTGTACGTTTATATGCGATGGACTCTTCGAACGTACAGCGTGGTGGGGACTCTCGTGATTTGCAGTGAATCGGGAAAGTAAACTGGAATCATTGGATAAAATCTTTGAGCTTGCAGCCAACCTACAAGCACAAGGAGAACACTTTGGTAAGTTTATCATAATTTTATCTGGCTCGATTGTCAAAGACGACCGACCAAATTTTCTTAACGGGCTGGAAAGAATTCTTTTAGCTCTCAGTTTCTTTTCCATTGAATCTTGGCTTTTTCCTTTATCTTTGCATGTTTTTTCGAAACTTTTACTTGCAAATTTATTACTCTTACTACTCCACGAAAACTTTTTCGTAGATTCTGCTGATTTTTCATTATGAGCTTGTGATTCATGGTCTTCGGATCTCTTACCTTTTACAATTACGTCTTTACTTAAAATTTTAGTACAACAATGTTTCTTAGTATTCTTCGTACATTCTGAATCCAAAACAGATTCTATACTACTATATTTGAATTGATTTATAGGAGATTTCCTCTCTATTTTGAACTGACTTTGAATACTTTTACAGTCTGAAATACTTTTATTATTATCATTAGGAATATTGGAAAATGACGACAGTGACTTTTCTCCGATCGCGTATTGTCGGCAGTCTTCAACCTGTATGTCAACTAAAGTCGTGTGAGATAATTGTGTATCAGCTTTCTTACTATGACTTTGACCAAATGAATTTTTCAAAGTCCTGTGAACAATATTCTTTTGATTTTTACCAAATGGATTTTTTAAATTTTTCGGTAAAGAAATATGCTTTTTTGCAACTTGACTAATATGATTCAACCGGAAGTTGTGGCAAATAGAGGTACTCCCTAATATCGTTTTACTGTGTTTGTTATCTTGAACATCTGTTACTATTTCCTCTTCTTTCATACTCTTCTCATCTTGTTGTATAGCTCTTTTCGAATTACTATCTAAACTGGAGTCATCATCTTCGGAACATGTTTCCTTTAAAGAATCTTTATAATGAACTTTCTGATTAATATCTATCTGTTGATCACGGAAGAAGAATCCGTCGTCAATAGAAACGAAAGATGACTCTTCGTCACAGGGGAGGACAGGTGCCTTCTCCCCTGTGGGAGGCGATTGCTAGACAAGCTTCTCAGTCTGTGAGCTTGTCGAAATAGAGCTGGTAGTATTTGAATTATTAGAAGTAGTGTGTCCTTGACTGCTCACATGTGTATGTCCTCCTCCCTGCCCCCCCTGATTCTGGGAGAGGCTTAGTCGCCGTCAGTTTATCAGTTCCACGCTCACAAATTGTTTCAATCGCTCTAAGTATTGATCGTACAACTCTACGTCATTATGGCCAGCACCCTAAAAACATAAGCGATAGTACTTATACGACTGAATTTCTTGCCTTCTTTACTTGAGAAAAGAAAAGGAAGTGCATAATTTTGTATACCTCGACCCATAATGGCTCTACTGCTCTTGGACACCTCTCATAAATTGCCAAACCATGACTAAAATTTATTACATCATCTTCGGTTCCATGAATTACCAAAACGGGAGATGTCACCTTGGGTACTTTGTCTATACTGTAAAAAGGAAAGAAACTTCGTTTTACACGTAATATTTATTTGATGTGTGATAAGTGCAAAATTTCTACAAAAGCATGAGAGTTTTATATTTACAAGTATATATAATAAATTAATAATATATTATAATAAATTAATATAGAAAATCGACAAATATTTAATTATTATTATTTAGCATAATTTAATTGAATAAAAAAGGAAAAACGATAGAGAATAGATAAGCAACAGCAAAAGTACAAAACCTATTAGCGAAGTATATGTCAACGGATCATGTAATTTATAGGTTTCCATGACGCAAGTATATAGGTAAACTTTTATTGCTTCCTATACTTGAACTCCGAAAAACCACACACCAACGCGAAAAAAATATATGCAGTCGCAGCATTGCTGCAAGCTTCCGTGAAACTTGTTATGCCAGTCAGAGCGTTCCACTTATTTTAAACTTCGTTTAAATTTTAAATACAGAATGAAATGTTTTTTTATATGTATGTACATATGCATATATATGTACACCACGTGCATGGATGTACACCTGAACTGGATGATAGTGTCATGCGCGTAAACTTAGCTGTGCGAATCATAGTATACGATAAGCAGATTATAGATCGCGTTTCATTTAACGCGATAAAGGGGGATATGTGCATGAAAAAGAATTGAACGTACCTAGGGAAGGCGTCAAAGAACCAAGTTCTTTTGGTGTTAGGGAAAGCAACTCGCATTCCCGACATTAGAGGTGAATGCAGAACAACTGCGCCAACCTCGTATCGCGCGGCCAGATCGACCGTGGGTACAGTCCCGATGCTTTGACCATATAGGATAATGTTTTCGGGGCTAATACCGTAACGTGTTCTAAGAGCATGCCACGCAGCATCTATGTCCGCATAAAGATTCTTTTCCGACGGTTTGCCACCAGAAACTCCATAACCCGAATAATCGTAACTGAATATATTACAATTTATTCTAGACCCGAGCCCCAAATAAAAACTAGACATCTGTCCGAGATCGACTGCATTTCCATGGGAATATAGTATGGTAAAACGTGCAGTAGCCGAACAGCGTACAAACAAACAAGCAATTCGATTTCCTCGTGACGTTCTTGCATAGAAACCTTCCACCGACTCTTTCTCCCTTTCCGTATATTGCCATTCTGCTCTTTCAGACAAAGAAATTGTAACCTTGGAACCTTCGTCCTCAATAAACGCATAAGTAGGCTCAGGAGGTAGAAACGCTAATTTCGCAGCGATCCTGGACGGGCAAGGTGGACAGCAAAACAAGCAACACAATTCACTAAAACTTAACCCGTTCATCGTTCCACGGGGGTGTTACGCGCACGCGAAAACGCCGTTTATCACGTTTCTTCGTGGAATCTCCGCATCGAGATTTCCGCTTTGATTTAGAAATAACTCCATCCACTGTAATTTCCACGCCTAGTGATTCAACCACAATGTCATTTGTTATCACACTCCTAGAAGAGTCTCTCACGATGAATCAGCCATGACGGCTCGTAAGGCGGACGATTTCTCTCCCTCCTATTTCCTCTCTTTCTCACATAATACCCCCACCTACCGAATGTTGCACACATCCATTGTATTCTGGTAAAAGGAGATAGTACAAGAAAGGGATAGAAACCATGCTGCTATTTTGCTACGTTCTTCTTCTCTATTCATTGCTCGCTATTGGTGAAACATTTAAACCAACAAGATGATTCGATATGCAACGAAGAATGATCGCGTATTCAAACGCGCGTTTCCTCGCTTACTCTATGTTACCAACATTCTAAATAACAATACAAACCGCATTATGAAAACATAAGTATGCGCCTTGCTATGCGACCGCGTCTAGTGATTTTTTTGAAAGAAAGCTACGAGGTTAGCAATAGCAACCTTTCGTGGAAAATCGATTAAATCCAGGTATATGGTGGAAACTCGACTAGTTTCATGTCGTTGCGTGATCGTTGCCGTTCGCCTATACAGTTTTGGCCGATGGCGGCTGTCAACTGGTGTAACTCTGTCTTTCGTGGAATTCATTTTCATCAATTTTCTAATCATTTTGAAAATTTCTATTCGCAAATAGTTATCACGCATTCGCGTTAAATTCATTTCTCTATGAGTCTGTGAAATTATCATTTACAACATTTGTATGACATCGGGAAAAGAAACAATGGGGTAAGTGAACGTGGTGGTATTCTGCACCGCCTTTTAAGGGTGTGTAATATATGTACACACCATTTTCATGTCGCATACAACTATGATAAACGATCCTTAATTCTTCTATTACTGAATACCGTCAATTGATACAAAATAGGTCGTGTCGCTTTCGTTGCGTTAACTAATGAACACTATCCTCCTTTCCCGTCTATTTACTATCATATTCCCGACATCATCGCAGATACGCATTTAGGTGGGTGCGTACATACATGAGGAAACTGGACCAGAATGTTTCTCTTCCCCCCCCCCTGTATTCATATATGCATAACCATAAAATAAAATAGTGAAGGTGGGATAAGTCGACACCGCGTGAAATGTGTTTATTCTAGTTGTTTACTCGGGCACCGTTTCATATATTTTTAGACTCTAATTGTGAAAATTCATTTCGACGACCCTACAAATATTTATTACGTTAATATCTATTCGACAGTTTTTTAATGCGATTATATTTTTATTTCCGATATAACATACCAAGCTTATGTAATTATATTATTTCTTTTTAGATCAGCTTTATAAATGATATCATATTTTATTAAAGTGATGAATTCTTTATTAATGTTTATTTTTTTATTGTAGTTATTTTTCACATAAAGTATATTTATTATTTGTTAAAATTACGTATTTTAAAAAACAATATATATAAATTGTAGATATATTGCACGTGTGAGAAATTAAAGAAATTAAGACAAAAGTATAATTGTTTCTTTTATGAAAACTGAAAATGTCTTGTTTATATTTATTTCTTTTGATTCCTTCCAAATTTATACAATATTGTAATGCTAAATTATAACATTATTAGATTTTCCATTGGATTAATTTTAAGGCATGTAATATGATATGTATATTTGAAATTTTTTGATGTATTTGATTTTGTTATGTTTCTGTGGAATATACATCTAATAAAGTTCTACAAAAAAGATAAACTTTAAGATATTTGTTATTATTAAAACACCTATAATTTATATTTTGATTATATAAATCAAGGTATATATAAATAGATGCTGCATGTATTAATTAAATCAATATATTTAAATACCTAAGTCTTTTACTTTTAATAAATTGCAGTGAACAACCAATTTTCACGTGTAAAGGACACGTGTTTCATATTGATCCTAAGACAAAAAGATCTTGGGTATCAGCATCTACAGCAGCAGTGTCTATTTCATTTTTTTATGACTCCACAAGGAGTCTATACAGAATAATTTCTGTTGAAGGAACAAAGGTGACTGAAAAATGGCTGAACTGTTAAACAAAGTAAATATACACTGTATCAAAAATAAACTTACATTGTATTTTATTTCTCTTTTAGGCAGTAATAAACAGTACTATTACTCCAAATATGACCTTCACAAAAACATCACAAAAATTTGGGCAATGGTCAGATGTTAGAGCTAATACTATATATGGTCTTGGCTTTTCATCTGAAGTAGAATTAGGAAAGGTTTGTGAAATATGTCTTAAGTTAATGTACAGTCACTTGTACACTGTAATCTCAGAGACAATACTATTCATTTGGCAGTTCATAGAGAAGTTTCATGAAGTGAAGGAAGCCACTAAATTAGCTAGTGCTAAATTACAATCAAACAGCTCATCTGTTACTCCTGCTACTAGTGCAAATGTTAGCCCGATTACATCACGATCAAGTATGCCATCGTCAGAACAAGATCTTATAGACCCGCCAAATTCATCGATGATTAATTCCAATATATCAGCATCAAATAATCCCAATCCAAATGCCAACATGATCTCCACTCAAAACAGTGTGTCTTTGGTAAGCAGCAGTCCCTTACCTGGTAGTTGTCAGAATAAAGTGGATGATGAATTGAAAAATGCAGTCCATTCAAGATCACAGAGTGTTTCTCAGCAGAGTACAGAAAGTCCACAACATCAAGGGAAATCATCGCAACTTAGTTCGACGCCAGGTGGACAATCAGCTGAAATGCAGCTTAAGTATGAGAATGATAGGCTGAAACTTGCATTAGCACAAAGCTCTGCAAATGCTAAGAAATGGGAGGTATGGTTTTATGTATCGAAACATACATAATTATTGTAAAAAATTACCTAGCATATGATATAAGTTATCGCAAAAAATTTGTTTGCAGGTTGAATTGACTACATTGAAAACAAATAATGCCAGATTAACGAGCGCGCTACAAGAATCCACAGCCAATGTCGATGAATGGAAAAGACAATTGCAATTATATAAAGAGGACAATGCAAGGATTAAAGCCAAGTATGCAGATCTCGAAGCTGGAAAAATAGCAGAAGGCAATAGCGAAGCATTAAGGTTGAGAGTTGAAGCATTAGAAAGTGAACTTAGAACAAAAAATGAAGAAATCAAAGCTCTTACTATAGCTACCAAAAATAAAGATTTTGTAGTACGTATAGATTGTAAAATAATCATATTAAACATTAATAACTAATGATTGTCGAATAATTAAAATAATATAAAAATGTTTTCTAGCTATTATATTTACTAAATGTCACTTCAATCAAAAGAGTATAGAAATTCAATAATAATATCTGGTCATGCTTAATTAATTATTCGTCTATTTTAAATAAATGAATATATAAATTCATAATTTCATCTTTTTCAGGCTTTACAGAAAGAAAATGCAGAATTTCGTGAAATGTTAAGGGCTGTTCATGAACAATTAGAGCTTGCATTAAGCGCAAATAATGTCCAAAAACAGAATTTGAATACACTAAATGCCAGATTAGCTGGATATATACAAGATTTGGTAACTGTACATCGAGAAATTACAAATACATTGCAAACTTAAGTTTCCATGTAGTGATGTCTAAGAATATTCTTCATGAGAGTTTTGTATTTATGATATAAGCGAAGTAAACAAATGGACGGTGTAGATTAATACAATGGGAAAGGTTCCAAAAAAAAAACATGCATAGTAAAAAAATCTTGAAAAAGTAAACTAAGAACACTATCTTCAAGTGATAAAGATAGATTACATCTCTTTAATGTATTTATTCCGTGTTAAGTTAATGACAGCATTTGGTGTTCACGTTCATAAATTTTTCGTGCCATATTCATGTCCTTATTGTATATAAAAATGTGTTCTTTTTAACAACGTTTTATATATTGTGTTTTTTTAATTAGTATACTTCTACACAGAAGGAAACGTAACTATCATTTACATATTATGTACCTAGTATATTGTACTATAAAAACAATTTTACAATTATTTTTACAGGTTATTTAATTAAAATTTATTGTATTATGTTTTCTATACAAAATGTTACAATCAATTTTTATTAATCATACAAATTATTTACATATATAATTTGTTTTTTTCTGATGATTGTGTCTAAATGTTTGTGAAATAAATTATAGTTGCAATTATACTGCAGTCATCATTACTAATACTGTTTCACTGATTACTGTTGATCTTTGACTCATTATTAAACTCTACAATTCTTACTATACTATTATAGCTATTATTATGATTATTAATGCTATTATAATTACCTCCACTATTGCTGCACTATTAATTGTTATTATTATTGCTCATAGTATCATCATTAGTGTTACTTCTATAACTGTTATTACTGTTACTGCCATTATATGTTCACAAAGGACTTTTATGATATATAAAAATATGAAACATATCAAAAATGTCACAAGATTTAGTGTAATACATGTTTCTCGATGTTTTTTGGAACTTAGCCCCTTGAAGACAACAATAAAATTCAGTTCATTGTACCCATGAACACGACTAAAAAACTGCACAATTAACGTTAGTAACGTATAGCGATACTCAATTATGTAGTATATCTATTTAATTCAGCTGTACATTGTATCCATATTCTTCTAGTTCTAGCACATATTATTTATCTTTATCAATAGTATAAAAATATATAAAATTGGAGAGTCTGGCATGAGCTGTACAGAACCATTGATATCTAATATAAAATGTAACATGAAAAAATATATTATAGGGCTCATTTACAATGGGTAACTTAGTGGTTTGAACATGGAAGGTTATCTAATACGTCAACAATGAGAAAATAATGTTTTTGATGTGTGAAATATTTTATTGTCTTTCTTATGAAAATCAAGTTATTATTGTTGAGAAAATAAACATCACTCTTCGTAATATAAATGGATTTATATATATTATTTGCTATTTATTATTCAAATAATCTATAGCAATCAAGCCAGATATTCTTCAATATGTTGTATTTGAATAGCATTATAGACTCATTAGGAAACAAAATTTACCCAAGACTGATGACCGATTGTCTTAAAGATGTCAAAGTGATACTTCTTGCAACAATAATTTCTAGTAGTAAATGAAGTGCGAAATACTAAACAGAGCACTTTTTATTGTACTAACAGTATGTATGTATGTACGTAAAATGTTATGGAAATGAGTTTTAAATTTGAGGAATTGGAAACAAAAGCCTCGCTTGCCACATGTAATCCTAATAAAACATTTTCAGATGGCTTTCTTGTGTTCTATTATCAATTATGATATTACTATATCCATACTTTCATAAATTGTTTGACATTATACGATAAATTTAATTTAATAATTGTTATTAATAGAATTTTAATACTTATCTAAAATATAAATATATATCGCATATACCATGATAGAAAACTAAAGTTATGGAAATTTAGTAAAAATTCTACTGTTTTATTTCATTAACTCATTTATACATTAAAAAAATATGTAACATTTATAAAGATGCTGATTCTCTTCACCTTAAGCTATAATTTATATATGTCTATAAACTTACGAACTTCTACATAAAGTATAAAATGAAATTATGTTCTTACATCATGTAATCGTAGTAGTTTATAAATTATGTATACTGTATAACGAAATATATAAACATATAACTTTATAATAATAGATTAAAAATAGTAAAGTTTTATTAAATTTAAAAAGATTATTAAAATAATAACAGAACGTATATTATATTAAAATAAATATGGAAGTCAGCAATAGCTGGTTGTATCTATATCATTTTGCACAATTAGAATGCTAACATTTTAATCGATATCTTAAAAATAAAATCAATTATTACCATTTATTTACTTCTTATTTCCCAATTATATTAAAATAATTTTATATATTATGTTATATGTTTATACTAACATTATTTTTATGTAATGATCATTCACTTTATTTTTCAAAAGTTTACCTAAAATAACCTGATTAAGCAAAATCCATAGAATATCATTTTATTTTAACATTCTTTCGTAAACTACGATATTATAAATTTTTTTACATTACTGAATGTTTTATTTTTCTGTATATAAAACAAGCATATCGAGTTTAAAATCAGTATTATAAATTTTAGAAACTTCAATTAAATATTAATTTGATTTATATTTTATATAAAACGAGTAAAGTTAAATATCACAGCGATGTATTAATTTTATATGGTAGATGTAAAAACATGTAAATAGTAAATAGGGATTATTTTCATAGAAAAAATAGGAAGAACTTGTTTCACTTTATGCAAAATGTATGGTAATGAATATTAAATATGATGGTTATTTACATGTATAAAGAATGTATAATAATGACAGCGAACAAATCATAAATAATAATTTTCCAAAATTAACAAGTATATATATATTATATGTAATTACAACAATGCGTTATAGTACGCTTATTATATCGAAGAAAATGATTGAAAAATTGTTTACTGTTGTTAATAATTTCATACGTCTAACGTACTTATATATATTTATTATTAAAATAGATTTATAAAATATTCTTATGTAGTTTCTTCATTATCATGATAACAATAATTTTAAAATTGTAAAATAAATATTGTATCAGTTAATAAAATAAAATATTATCCTATAATATAACAAAGTTGTATCTCTTCCCTGTATATAACTTTTTTCTTGAGAAGCTACTTGTTCTTCTATATATCTAAAAAATTATTGCATTTTATTCGCAATTCCTGAATCTTTGAGTAATTTAAAATAGAATTGAAATAAAGAGAAACATATTTTTAAGAGCCCAGAATTTATATACTTATCTATAACATAAAATCATCAAACAGTTTAATATCTTTTTATTGTAATGTCAAAAATATACAACAAAACTTCCCGCCTTTTCAAGTATGCTAGTGTAACATCTATGTATAGTTTATCATAAAAAAGTATTCTGCATTAATAGAGTAAAATACAAACACAACAGGGTGCGGAAAAGTTGTATATTTGCAAGTATTAAAAAATGAAAAATCGTCATATTGATTGATTTTAGCGATTGTAAAGCTTTAGTGAACTTTGTCGCGTATATATTTCGAAACGTAAAAAGTGATCTCGAAGTATTGTGTAAGAATTAAAGTTATAAAACCGTTGTCAAGTTTACAAATTCGTTCATTTGGTGGAGAATTTTCTCTTCTTATTTATAATTTGTTTGGAAAAACAAGTAGGTAATGAATTTATACATCAATAGATTATACATTAGCTAAATTGAGTATAAAAGACAAGTATTATAAAACTAATAAGATTGCTATCTTAAGTATGCAATTACAATTTTGTTTATTGCATTTACGCTAAATAAAGTGCATGATTAATTAGTTATGTTTCCGAACTTGTTTTTATGAAATTTATGTTATTTTATGTTATGAAATGTATATACGTATATTATATTATATTAATTTATATATATTTGTGTGTATAATGTAATGAAATTTATAATTTTATAAATTCCGGCATAACCTTTCATCTATTTTTGCCTCCTGTCTGTATATTTGTCTAAATAATTGGTTTATTTGATCAAATGCTGTTGGTCCTATATCTCAAGTAAATATTGCAGATAAAAGATGGTAGTGCTTAGCAATTTTCTTGCACCACAGGAGGGAATACGCCATGAAGAACTAAATACTACCGTGTATATTAATGATAGGGAAGTAGGAAAAGGAACTCTGTATATCACAGAGAGGTAAGTACTAATATGACGCAATCTTATATTTCATAATATATTCATATTTTAATACGATGTTCATGTTTGTAGCTTACTTTCTTGGGTGAATTATGATACACAACAGGGATTTTCACTTGAATACCCTCATATATCTTTACATGCCATATCACGAGATGAACAAGCACACCCAAGACAATGTTTATATATTATGGTCGATGCAAAAGTAGATCTTCCAGGTATGTTAAGTTCCCTTTGAATGTAATTGCTTGTCTTTCAGTGAAGAATAAAATCTAAATAAAGTTCAGTAATGTGTGGAGATTAAATTATATACAGATTATTAATACTAAGAATCTGATTTTACTTTCTATGTAATTTTCGCTAAATATATTAAGATTTCATATTTTTATATTTTTTAAATATATTTCATATAGATGTACCATTGCCACCAGCTTCAGATAGTGGTTCAGATAATGAATTTGAAGATGCAGATACACCTATCACAGAAATGCGATTTGCCCCTGACAACACAAATAATTTGGAGACAATGTTTCAAGCAATGAACCAATGTCAGGCTCTTCATCCTGATCCACAAGATAGTTTTTCTGATGGTAAATAAAGCTGTTTTAATAATCCTCTATTAAACAATCAAATATGTTATAAAAATTTACATATCTTTGTAGCTGAAGAAGATATTTATGAAGATGCAGAGGAAGATGATTTTGAACAGTACGATGTTGGTGCTGGTGATGCTCCCTACATTTTACCAACAGGTAATATTTAAAATTTTAATAGATTTAATGTAAAAAGAATCAATATTCTATAAAGATCAAGATTCTTTATTCTCATTCCTTTAGAACAAATAGGGACAAGTCACAATGGTACAGAAGTAGATGATGCTATGGATATAGAAGCAGGTCAATTTGAAGATGCAGAAGAAGATCTATAAAATATGGAGATAATATAATGCAAACATGCAATTTAGTATTAATTTATGATTACCAGTATCATATACCAAGGTAGATATGTGATATTATGGCAGACTGTATAAGAGAGCAGTATCAAACATAAAAACAGCTAACATTTATTTATATTCATTTTGTACACCGTAATAATATTTTAGATAAAAATAAATAATTGTATATCAAATTCAATTCCTTATTTGTATGCATATTTGTATTTGTTTTTTAGAAAATTATTGGTTTTTTACATTTATTTATACAATAAAAATGAAGCTTAATATAATAACATTTTTTCAAAATATCCGAAAGGTATACTAATATTTATAAAAGTTTATCCATTTTGACGAATAACACAATATCGTGATTAGTTCTAAACGTATTGTATCTTTTTTATTGTTAATAAAAGTTTAATTAAATTATTAAAAATATTGAAGTATAATTTATTAATATGACTTATTATATTATGTCAATATGTAAATTTTGCAATTAAAATTTTTACGATTAACAATCCTGATGTTGAGTATTAGCCAAATTGATTTTTTATTGATAATTTTGTATATTTATAATGTGGAAGTAACAGAGAAGACACGTTATTCGAATACAACAGAGCTTTTTTTCCATATGAATATATGCAAATACATATTGACATATATGACACATTTCTGCATTTTTAATATAAAATATGTTTTTACACTGAAATCTATATGATTGAGAATTCATATAAACAACATATAGATATGTATTTCAAAAAAAAAATAAAGTATCACGAATTTATTGTAAAATCTACACAAAAACATGAACATCAAATAGTTCGTATTGTAGATTTCTTGTTTTCCTCTAACATGACAAGTACTGATTTCCAACAACATTAAGATTACCGTATCTTTTTGGGGCCAAATATAAGATCTGCATCTGGTGCACCTTTAGGATGATTATATTTTTGTCGTCGCTCTCTATTTAAATTTACTGTCACTGGCCTGGTACTCTGGTTAATTGTTTCTTGATAATCTTCTTCTTCTTGTCTTTCTGTAATATTCAGTGTCAATCTTTTAACTCGTTCTTTCTCTTCTTTCTGTTCCTGTTCTCTATTTCGAAGATTCATTGCTAATTCTGATGACACAGGAACTGCTAAATTCTTGTATTGTTGCTTGTTACCTTTCCTTAACATAAGTACGAAATCGACTGTACTATTATCAGAAGGTCTTTCTTGCAGTTGTTCGTATGTTTTTTTAGTACTTTTTACATGCAAAGGAACTGAAATATCCACTTGTTGTGGTTTCACTGAATCTCGCATTCTATCTTGTATATTATCTGAAACCATTTTATCAAGAGCAGACAAAAAGTCATCATCTTCAGGACAACTTACTCTTCTAGGGCCAGCTGGTAATGCTGCATTTAATTCTGTAACATCCATAATAACACCATCAGTACCACCTTCTGAAAGACTTTGATCTCCTTGGGTATTTTCTTGTGTACCCATAGTGTAATCTCTTTCTGCATCAGCAGTCCAATCTTCTTCTGATTGTGCTTCAGAACAATCTTCAGATTCTTCAAAATGCAAATCAGCCACACCTTTTGCATCTCCACTACCATTTCCAGATGTTACAGCTATATCTTCATCTCCTTCAGCAATTACACCCATATCAGGTTCTCCATCAGTACGTTCAATACCATCCTCTGCAATAGGATTTCCAAGTGTGGGATATAATGTATTTCGCAATTCTTCCACAGCACATTGTGCTTCTTTATAACTTTGAAACAATTGCATTTTTGGTCTCAACATTGTTAATGTATCACGATACATATAATCTATACCCACTGGAAATGGATTTTCTGGAGTCCAAATAGGATCTGTATATTTGAACCAATAATAATTTTGGAAAAATATTAAAAAGTAATCTAGTTTTTTCTTGCTAGAACCACCACTAAAGTACTGTCCACAAGTTTCCAATAATGTACAGACTAATCGAATTCTAAAAAGGTGATCAGGTGGATCTAAAATACTTGGTATGGAGTGATCCATACTGACTCCAAATGTAATCAGAAGATACAACGTTCGGAAAATATCTCCACTTTCTACCATGCGATAGTTATACAATTCTCCGAGATATTTAACCATAGCAATACGCCGTTGATTAAATTTTGGTAAATTAATTTCCATGCATAGTCTTATATCTTCCAACACACCATCTACTACGTGAGGACCTATAGTTTCGTAATGTGCAACAAGTCCAGCTAATAAACTTCCTACACATCGAATGTTCAAATATTTAACATTGTATGCAGCAGTGAGGCATTTAATAGCGTAGGATGATACACTTTCATCTTCCCAATCTAGTTTACGCATCCATTTGAGTACTTTATCTGTATTTGTTTTTGAGAGATCTTGGTATAATAATTTCCTTATAAATTCATGAATAGGTGGTCTGTCTTTCTTTGATACACCCCCAGTAGATTCTGGTGGATTTACATAATAATACGCATTTTCAATTATTGTTACATAACGTGAATCTAATGCAGTGACTGCCTTCTTACGCATCATTTGTTCCAAATATACTTTTGTCCTTTGATGTGAGTCTGGTGAACAAAATAGGTATCTTCCACATGTTTCCAACAAATTACAAGCCATTTCAATATGATGATGTGTAAAGTCATGTAACAAAACTTTCAAGCAATATAATGCTTCTATCTTTGAATAAAGTTTAAATTTAACAAGTTCACCAATGTATCTAACAACTTTTACTTTTGATTCTATATTAATTTGATCCTTTTTTCGTACATGATATTTAAAGTCATGTTTTAACATTGAACATAAATCATTGCCAACATCAGGCATAACAGGATAAAGAATAGCTGCCAATCGTGAATAAAATGGCAGTAGATCTAAACGAATTCTAGAAACACCAAACAATGCTTTCACTAGCTTTTTCTTGTTATGTTTCGTGTTGAGATTCATTAAGAAGTGTACTGCCGCATTGTCAATTAATTCACGATTTACGCAATTTGGTAAATGCGTTATAAATGCATCTAGAAGTATTTTATTACTTATATTCGAAACTTGTGGTTCCTCCACTTCTGCCTCAGGTTCGTCTACTTTTTCAGTTTCTTCTAGTTCATCAAATGTTATTTCCTCATCTAAAGCTTCTTCGCTTATTGGAGCATCTTGTTTAGGTACTTCTTTCAAATATGATCCTGGAAGGAATACTGTTAAGTCTGGCAAAACTTCATAAAATCGTCTGGTTTCTTCATCTCCCCACATATCCTCTAAAATACTATTTTCTTCTCCTTCGCTAATCATTTTCAACGATTCTTCTGCTTCTGCTTTCATCTCACTATTTACAGGAAGTTCTGGCATAGGTTCATCTAAAGTATCAGAAAAGCTTTGCACATTATTAAGTAAACGATCATAGGATACTTGAAGACTCTCAAGTTTTTCTTTTCTTTCAGAGCTTAGCTCGCCTCTGGTCTGCAAAATCTTTCGATTTTGTTTCTCAAAAGCTTGAAGATCCTTATGTTCTTTTAATAAATGTTTACATAATGAATTGTAGTAATCTCGTAACAGTAATCTCACATTTTGTTGTTTATCAGGAGAAAGTAATTTGCTTTTGGGTATAGTTATACTCAACTTTTCAGATATTTCTCTTACTCTTTTAGATACAAGACCTGCATAATCTTCACCACAATGTTTGCAGAAGCTTAATATGATGCTTGCATTGTTATGTTCTTCTTTATCCATATTAATTAAAACCGTTAATGCAGAACCAAGCAGAGGTAATCCTTGCTTATGGGTGAAAATCCCTGCATTAACCAGTTCAGCATAAAATCGAAGATCGACTCTAAGTTTGCTTGGATTTGCAATTTTGTCTACAACCTTTAGAGATAAAATTCTTTGCCAATTCTCAAAAAAATGGGTTGAAAATTCTGCGTATGTTTGATGCAAGAAGCTGCATACCTTAATAGCAGGTGCAACATCTGTCATTTTTAATTTAGCATCCACTAAAGCAGTAGCAACTTCACTTACATATTTTGTCAAATTTAAATGTGTCATATCTTTTAGAACTGTATCTAATTGTATACTACTAAAATTTTTTAATTTCTTAACAAACGTAGTATTTCTTTTCAGCGTTGAATCTAATTTGCTGAAATATGTTTCTGGTGGTCTATTAGGATTTAAATTAGCTGCTCGAAGTTCTTCTTTTGCATTTAGTCGTTGTTCTGTTTCTTTTATATAATCAGTCAAATATTGTTTATCTTCCTCAGATACAGCATCTTGTTCTACAGTTGCTTCTGTTGCTTCTGGTACTGTTTCTTGAACTTCTGACATTGTTCAAACCTGTTATCTAAAATATATATTTTATTATGTATTTGTACAAAATGTCATTTGAAAAAGCTACTTATGATTGTTGTGCATATAAGACAGTAATGATTATTATAACAACGTATATATTAATTATCATATTTTGATCTTTCTCTATATTACAAGTTATGTTAACAATATTGGAATATTAACATGAAAATGTTATAAAGAAGAGAATGAATATTCTTCTAATCTAAGCAATAAAAGTATTCAATAAAATATTATAATTTGTGTTTGCAAATTTATATACTATCAGAAATTATTCAGTTTTATATATAGAAATAAATTATATATATAAAATATGTTTATAATTAATAAATATGTTATAAGAAAATAACATTTACTTATACCGTGTAAAAAGAATCTTTTTTTTTTATAGATGATATGATTTCTTTATATTTATTTAAATATATATTTGATATATGACATGTTTACATTCATAATAAGTAATACAAAATGCATAAAAATTAAATAAATTATGTGAAATAGATTGAAAATGAAAATTAGTACACTAATATTATTTTATAGAATTATGTTATGAACTTTTTAAAATTATTTACTTTCTTACTTTTTAAAAGCGAATGAGGTTATTTTATGGCAGACGAAAATTGATATCTTACTAACATCCGCTAACACCAATATAAAAAATTGCTTCAGTGTTTTGAATACACGAATATATATGTATGCACATGCACATATGACATTAAGAGAGATTTCCTTTCTGATGTTAATCACTATAAACAGGACAGAAATAAAAAATTGTATGGATCTCTTACATTTTATTTTTGCGATAAAAGATAAATTTTAATTATAAAGAATGACATTTCTGCTTTATCTAAACGTTCTCTATTTGATAAATTCTTTAAAATTTAAAAACTTCAGTATAGATAACAAAATTAAAATTTATTGTAATACATATATAGTCGTTAGTAGGTAAATATAAAATAATTGTACTAAAATAATTATACTAAAATTTATACTACAAAGAAATACAGTTATAACTTTAATTATTATTTTCTAATTTCTAGTATAATACTAAAGCTAATTTCTCTGTATAATACATACATATACGTAATGCCTGATAGTACTTAAATATATACAATGTCATACGTACACACAGCTATATTCATTTATATATGTTATTCAAACTGTCAGTAAGCCGCCAAGAAGAAATGGTTTAAAAATTATGCTGCTCAGTCGTAATCAGACAGAGATTAGATTTATATCTACCTTCATGATAGTGAAAATAATATTCGAAGTCAGTATAATCAGTGTAAAAGTGACTTGTGAGCCTTCCGAAATAATTATATTTTGTTGTGTATTTACGATAATAAAACATTAGACTATTCGTTTGATTCGTAGTGAAAAAGTTTAGATGATCGTGTAGTGATTGTGAAAAAAAGTTTTATTTTTCTATTATATAATAATCGTTGACACTAATTAGATTAAATTGAATTATATTTAAATTTGCGAATATATGTGGTGTGTTTTAAGGGGACAACTAAAATATTTATTCCCGGATACATCTTTTACAAAGTGGTGAAACAGTTTTTTTCACTTTCTAGGTATATTTCTAGATAAAAGCATGAATCGTTATAGCGATGAAAACAATTTGCTTTATGAGTATAAATTCATTATGCATCGGGAAAGTTGTAAATTATTTCAGGTCTGACTTACTTGATCGTATAATAGATAAACGGGAACAAGATAGACAAACGGTTGAATTCAACAATACGTAAGTTTAATTTATCTTATTAAACTTTTTGTTGTTTACAATATCCTTTGTAAAAATATTTTTTTATATATCATAAAAATACATGGCAAAGAAATTTTTTACAATAATTGTGAAAGAAAGAAAATAAAAAGATATATCTTACACTAAATAGAGAGTTCTTAAACTTTATTCAATGTGGAGTATATAAACAGAGTTTTGAATCTTATAATTTTCGTACACTCGATAATTGAACGAGAAGGAGATGATAAAGCATGTATAAAATATAGACTAGTTTCCGATATAATAAATTATTATCATTTTAAGATAATTAGATTTTATAGGTACAACGATACATTAACTAAGGCACATTCTCTTTACATGTATAATAGTTTCGACAAAAATACAAAGAATAAATTATTTATTATATAATATAGTAAAATTGTATGTATGTTTTTCTTCCTTTCTATGCACTTTTCGAAAGGAATTGTGATACTAATATAAACTTTATAAAATGTCATACATTTAGATTTATGAAACATTACTAATAACATATATCTAAACAAATATTCTTTCAATAAATATCTTGCGTTTTTACTTTATGTTTAATCAATGTACAATTAGCAAACTGGAAAACAGCAGTATAGAAAAAGCAATTTCTCAAGATGAAAAACGTGATGGAATCGTCAAGTATTTCCTAATACATACATAGCATGACAAAAGATACGAACGTATTTATATTCCCTTATCTTTATCAATGACTTTGATACACGTATTAGATTACGAGTATAACGTTTTCTCTATCCATTCTTCCATTGTGAATGTCGCCGTATTAGTTAAGTCTGGATCTCGTTCTCTGAAAATATCTGAGAAATGGAAATATTCGTTAATTTCTATATTATGATATAGATGTCCTATTATATTTATCGATACTCGTTTACCTATCATTGTCTTGAGTCGAACTGCACACATGATGTAATCATCGAAGGTGATCATACCATCCTTCGTTCCGTAACGATGTACCAAGATATTTAAAATGTGATTATTGAGTCGATAGCCTGCGCTATTTAATGCTTGCCTCAATTCAAACGCACTCAAATATCCCGATTCGTCTTTGTCGTATAATTTGAACACAGCCTGAAAAGCAAATGTTGTTTTGTTAAGCTTTTTGTTCTCATTTAATTACAGCTGTTTCTTTAATAAATGGAAAGTGGATGATCCACCAAAAAAATAATCTTTCCCATACACTAATCTATTTATCTAATTTTTGTTTCAAATTGTGAACAATTGATAGCAATAAATTGGCGTACCCTCCATTTCCTTATGTCGTTCCATAATGTTCGAAATTCTTCAAATCCGAGTTTTCCAGAGTGATCTACATCTAACATGGCCACCATACTACGGCATACATCCTTACTGAATCCTTTATCATTCGTTTCTGAAATATAGAAATCATTTATGTTTATAATATTGAACGTTATAATCGATTAAACTTAAATGTATTGTTTTATATTGTACATTTTGGTCAACTACATAAACTTCTGAAATCTTACAAAGTAAAAGATATTAAAGGATTATCGTTAGGTATATAATTGAAGATGGCAACATCACAGATGTAAAAAATATAGATAGATAACAATAGGTTATAATTATAATGGGATTATATGGTAGAGCTACAGATTTTTATCGACATTTCGCATTCGAAGTCCGATGAATTATTTTCAAGCAACATCGTTAATGGTTTATATGTATATGTTGTTTATGACAAAGGCACATGCACAAACTTTTTTGATTATTCGGTCTTTAAGCTTTTTTGCCTCGCTTCTACAATTATACATGTACGTTTGTTATTTGTTTCAAACAATTAGTTATAAATTACGTATTACATTTAACAATCGGATAAAATGAACGATGCCTTCTTAATATAAAATTTGCGGTACTATTATCGAGGATTGAGATGTTAAAAAAATTAAAAGGAAGAATTACGATTGCGTTCTAATAACTCATTTTTCTTCCGAAAGGACCTAATGTTTCAAAATATCTGTCTCCTATGTTACATACGTATGACCTGTAGTGTGAAGTATGTACTATGTAAGTACTAGACTAGACGATGCCTTACCTACAGTCTTACTGTACTGTTCATTATTACAAACAATGCCGCACAGCAGTGAGATGAGAGTGTCGATAAACGAACCATTTCCTTGTACAGTTTCAGGGGCATGTGCCTCACTACGACGCGCCGACTGTGGTAGTTCTACCCGTAACATACAGCTACATGTTAACATTAAATTTTACATATGTACATTCGGGTCAGATCGATCAATATACATGTTAAAAATAACAAATTTTCAATACTATTACAGATATTTTCATTAATTCGTATGTATTATCAGCACATTTGATTCTTAGCTTTGTCTAGAAATGTTGCCAGGTTCCTATCACTTTAAAATTGTCTTGACATTTTTAATCGTAACAAATGTTAATTTGGAAGTCAATTAAAAAGTTCTGATCGAACAGTTTATTAGTCGTATGATGTTACGTTAAGAAACAATTTTAACCAGAACATGAATTAATTACAGTATAATATGGACTCGAGGTATTTCTATCTCCCATGTGGACCCAAATGTATTTATGTATTATAGTACGTATGAAGTAATTATACAGCAAGAAACAAAACATGCATAATTACACGAATGAAATTTGAGTTGCATTAGCGTTCACACAGTATATAATTGATTCACGTGAATAACAAATTAATCGAAGTGCTACGAAATCAGAATGCATTGTGCCATTTGCGCGTCTTTCCATAAAGTATTCTAAACGAATGAATGATTGACAACAAAAAAGCGTAATTACATAAATTCTACTATGGTCAATAACAGCAAACGGTATTACGTAAAAAAGCATTATTTCGGAAGCTTATTGTGAGAAAGTAAAGGTATAAAAGCTTTCTTCTTGAATAATAAGCAGACAGCCGTAACAATGAAATAAAATCAATAACTTATTTCTAACAGAATTTTCTCTAAAAAATATATACAATATGTGTAATACTATATCATGAGTAGCGTGATATAGTAAATACAATACTGTTCATGTACATATAATAAACAGATATTAACCGCAATTATATAAGATGTACACATTTCAATTATATTTAAATACCTGTATAGCGAAATTAAGATAAATGCGAAACATTTTTCTCAATTTTACTTATAACGTGGTCTTTGGTATTACTGTAACTGAATTATTTTGATATGCGGTTAATATAAACAAATTAAGTACAAATAACTATACCTTTTCGCATTGCAAAATCTAAAATTTCCTTTAGCTCCATCCAATCCACCTCCATATCGTCACCAGCGAGCTTTTTGAAAAATTCTCGAACTTTGTCTGCATTACGGTCTGGATCTGGTTCTTCTCGAACCTTGAAAAGATAGAAATATAAAAGTTTAATGATACAAATAAAGATAATTCATAAAGTCCAATATCACAGAGATTTTATTAATTATTATTAGACATACTATATTAAACGTTGCATTTGTATTTGTTGTAAAAATTGCAATTGGATCTTGTTAGTGTGTGAATTTAATTAAAAACATATTAGCGTGCACATTACTTACCTTATCTCCATCTTCGTGTACGTTATCACCTTTGGGATTAATGACCTAGAAGCCAAGCAACATCAACATGCGAATTGTTACGAATTATTAATTAAGATTCACGATCATCGAGTAAATTTTCTTAGATCGATTTGGTTACACATTGGTAGTTGGGACCAAACACATACATGGTAGATCTAGACTGTAACTCATATTCGATATTCTTTAAAAGCATTATAAAAGCTTAACAGCTTAGATTTAGGTTATCAATATGCAAATGCATAGTGTAAATAATGAACTGGTTTTCAGTTCGTTACTTGTATTACAATGCGTGTTAATGAGTTGTACAAAATCATCATGCTGACTGTGCACGTACTGTGAAAAACAAATATCAAACACTATTTCTCTTACCCTATCATCAATTTCTCCAACACCAACTTCATCATCATTTTCTCTGAAAGAATATAGTTTTAATATCAATATTTTAGTTTCTCTCTCTCTCTCTCCCTCTCTTCTTACATCTTTTTTAATTTAAGCAAGAGATTACTTACTCCATATTGTTCTTATTTTCGGAGAATATTCTCAGCAAAAATTCGCCCTCTTCATTAGGGTCAAACGTACTTGGAACTATGCAATATGCACCAGGTGGTAATTTGAAACGGCACGTTACTTCTCGTAAATTTATAAATGCTGGCGATCTTGCTACCGACGCGTTGTATTTGAAGAAATTAATGTCCAATGGCTTGGGTAACCGTTCGGGATACTCCAACTGTATATTTGCAATCGTTATAATCAATATATATTATCTCCCATAACCGTAACAAGATTGTACGAATATTTAAAAATTACTAGGATATGGATCCTTTTTTAACATTATCAGTTCTACATAAGTACATACATGGTATATGGCAAATCCAATTGTCAGACATTCTGCACCCATTCTTCTCTGTGCTCGCCTATTTTTCTGCATCAACGCAACAATGACTGTACATTTATCGTCATCTTCATCTGGGTACTCGAGAGTAATTCGGTATTGCGGATTATGCCAGAAGGTTTCTGCGAGTCACATCAAAAATAACATCTATTAGTACTTTAGAATAACAAGAACGACGAGTACTAACGAAAAGGCACATTTACCTAAAAAGTTCCTACATCCTCCTGCCGTAACACCGCGTACCCACTCCCCTTCGAACACGCTCATCTCCCATTTCTTTTTACCAGCATTTAGATCGTCTTCGGTCAACGAGTCTGGATTCAAGTTACATATTTCTAGTTGCGTAAAATATCGCGTGAAATCCTGGAATGACATCCAAAATTCACCATCCATGTCGAAGGTCAAGCCTAGCTCTTCCTTCTCATGATCGGGAATGAATCTCCACTCTGGTGATCTATTAAACAAACATTCATTTTTGTAGTATCGTGGTCGAGAGGCCTAAGAGATATCGGGTGAACTATAAATAATATAGGGAGAAAGTCTAAGTGCCAACAATGACCCTGGCCACGAACGGTTGCGGAACACGCGCGTGGCGCGGCTAAGACAAAACACAAAGGGATGCTAAGGGAGAAAGACGAATTAACAGTTAGCAGCGTGACGAGAGTATCTCATAATATATGTTACGCCGAGCGACTCTCTGCCTGGCCCAGGTCACACACCGCGGGCCAGACGGACACCAGATGTCCGCTCTTCCGTACGGCGTACCCTCAATAGCCTTAAGCAAACGTCATAAACGCAAGTCATTTGCCTGCTAAGGTCCTTCAGACCCAACAAATGTCTTTTCTAAATCAGTTTCCAAAGACTATCGTTTACTACGGCTTGACACGGGAAAGTTAGTTTTTCTCTCGTACGATGCTTCCCACTAGCAACTTTCTATCGAGGGCGGTTAAGACCCTCCCTAGTCCACCAACCTTCGTTTGTCCAATTCGAGGCAATGTATACTGCCCTCACTTGCTGACCTAAAATGGCATGAACAAATCCGATGATCCCGTGCGCTAGACACACCCATCACTAGCTTTCCTCCGACACAGCATCGTCAATCAACTTCACTTCTTCTACATCGTTGGAAAAGTCAACTACTAAGTCTAACGCTAATGCTTATCGGGGCAGTCTAAGCATAACGCGAGAATCGGTCTCGGTATTGTCGAGCATACATTTCCTCTCCTAAATATCTTATAGTGCTACGTCCACTAATCCAATTATAAGAGCCCTGCTCTAACGTACATATCTATCTTATCTTCGTGCGATAAGTGATTATCTATCTATCTATGCTCATCAGTGTAATCTAAGTGTTGGAAATATATAATTTATAATTCTGTGAATCACAGTGTTATACAAACTCAATTACCCCTATTATCTCAACGGAAATCAGGGGATCGATCAAGTCGTGGTGTCGATTGTTATAATCATAACGGGAATTTACGTCTCTCCTAGCGACTACGTCTCCCTGCGAGTGGTCGAACAAACAGTTAGTGTTAGTTGAGAAGTCGGAGAGTGTCAGTTGAGAAGCCAGAGAGTGTTAGTCGAGAAGTCAGGGAATGTAAATCGAGAAGTCAGAAGAGAGAGAGCGTTGGATCCGTGGTGACGAGAGTTGCAAATTAACTATCTACTTGTCTTAATTATAATACGTTATTGTGATTAGTTCATGTTAAACAACCATCGTTTCCTGTTTAACCAACATCTGTTTAATCCATTGTAAATGAACTAATTGTAGTAAAGATCCTACATTTTATACTTAGCACGCCACATTTCATCGAGCAAAAGATCCTATGTTCTGGGTAAATCAGCTCGAATCTGATGAATAACTTACTGATCGCTCCACGGACCATTCCATTCTGCCTCGTTACCCCATGGATTTCTAAGTCTAAGTAGCGGTATTTTCCCAAATTGGTTTGGCGTTTGAATCTCCACATATTTGACACGTGTAATACTGTAAGCATGGCCCCTGATCAGTCCTTGAGGCGTCTCGGCTTCCAATATATTTGGATCAGGCTAAAATAATAAAATTGGCTTGATTACGCTCGTTCAACGAGCACAGAAGATCAGAAACGTTTGTCTACCTCTATCGAACAGCCCATTAGCGAGTTCCTTTCGTAAGCTTTTAGCAAAATACTAAATAGATTTGGAGGGGTTTGGTCCATCTGATACATTTCCGTCACACCACCCGTAAAATCCTCCATGGCCTCACAGGTGGTTCCGCCTTTCAAAGCTTCGTACGAGCCATGAAGCTTCGCGTACGCCTTTTCCAAAAGAGCACTCCAGAATTCGTTGATCTCAGCCGAATGCAGGTATACCAATTCGCCGCGGTAGGTCGGTAATCTGTCGTCGATCACCACGTCTACCCATCTACCGTACTGCCAGAATCTGTTTAACATTAATACGTATATATGTATACAGATTTAGCCGAATAAACGTTTTCAATTTACGCAGTATGATAATAAGACGTGGGAATACCTGAAATGAAATATACCGGCGTAGTTTTCTTCGAAACTCTGGTCTTCTGGGACTACTTGGAAAAACAAATTGGCGTCCATCGTGAGATTTGCGACTGCTGCCAGCAGCCAACAATCTCCTAATTCGCCTTGCTGAACGTCGAATCTGGAAAAACCCTCGACGAACAGTTGAGGGTTGTCCGCGATTTCCTGTAATCAAATACTCCAATGTAAATATTAACAATTATACTGGTTAAGGCTACGTAATTAGACCGTCATCATCTCCTTGTAGTCGATGCTTTACCACGTTTTATCGCTAGATCGGACCTGTACATTTACAATTTCATTTGGAGATTTCTTTGGAGATTAGAATTCCATAAGCACAAGTGACGTCGAAATGGGAAAATGTTTTAAACCATGTACATTGCGCGATATGAAATAAAGATACAAGCGAATAACTTAAATAATACTTTGACGCTCAAAGTATTCCTACAGGTTTCCGTTTCTACGATACGATATCGTTTACTTGGTCTTCGATCGAAGCTTTATCAGCCTAAAAAATTGCAGCCGAAGAAAGAAAATATCGAAGCAAATTGCATGAATATTTTCTATGTAATACTTTCTAGAACTCTGTAATTACGGTACAAACGAAAAAAAAACAGCTTAAAAAATATAGATACACGATACGTAACATCGTAAATTATAAACGAGTTGGAGATAAAGATAGATAAAGATGATCTACCATTGGTCGTTTCCATTCTATATATCTGTCTGGCCTTTTCGAGAAATATAACGATGAATCATCCGCTGGAAATTCGGGATCCTCGAAAAGTGTCCCCGTAGCCAAACATTCTTGCTTGAGTTTGCTAAAATCTTGAACCGCTGCTCGGGGTCTGAAGCCAGAACCCTTTTCTCCTAACTGAAACAAAAACAATGCCTTTCTACACAGTTCTAAAATTTTTCATACGAAATCTTTCTTCCTCGTAACAATAATTCTAACAAACAATTCCTACGATAGCCTACGTTATAGTAGGGTTTCCCAATAAAATTTGCGGTTGTCCTTAGAGGTTTGTCTTTGTAAGTGTTCTTTTCTTTCGTTGATTTCGATCGAGAGTTTAAGTTTTCTTTTTCAGAGAATTTTGTATGAGATAGAAGCTTTCCTTGAGCGATATTAGGAATCGTGCTTTTTTTCTCGATATTGATATTTCTGGCATGTTCTAATTTTGATGACAGTTTCAACTCAGCTACACCTTCCGCTATATAATTTGAGTATCTGTAGTTCGTGTACTTTCGTCGTTCCATTTTCATATATCGACGAGTAAAAATGATCGTATACCGTAACCGAAATTACAATTGTGTGCACAAAATTCCGCTAGAATTATCTTGTTCTGATTAAAAATGAAGAAGAACGAAAATATGTGTTCGAACGTTTAAATACTTTTACTATAATAAACAAACTGAAGTGTATGTATACTCTCGATTGCGGACGGAAGTATACTGCGGCTGCGAACCTTCTCATTAATTTTATCACATATGGCAAATACATTATTACAAACGGAAGAAAGCTTGACCACATCTATTTCAGATTACGTATCGAGATACGGTTGGTGCGGTTTAAAATGTGCGCACAAAGCAACTTCTAGTCATAGACGTTAGTATCTTAGTCACTTAGCACCAGGTGATATCAGTGATATACCGGAGCTTTGTTAATTTAGGAATTTTATCAACAAAAGGTATATAGCTTCTTTTATTTGGAAAGGTAAACGTTATCAAATGTTTATTGTAAGTGAAATGGTTTTCTACGTAGAAGAAAATGCTGATCGTTTTAATCATTTACTATATCGATTCAGTATGTAGCCGAGAGTATCGTGTAAGCGGACAAGAATTAATTCTTTGCGCAATTATGGAATAAGATTTTTTAATCTGCATCTTAGTTCCGTGTGAAATCCTTTGTAGCTGTATTTATAGGATACTTTTTGTTTATTCATAGAAGAAAAGGTTGTTTCGCATCTCGTGTTAACAAACTTAACAAAACACGTTTTCCTATCTAGAGTATTTTTCTTAGTGCACGTGCGATGAATGAGAAGTTGAGTAATAACGTGTACACATGACGCATAATAGGAGGATTTTGTTTAATCATGTTCCTTGCAAACACATCACGAGAGATAAAGAATGCGTACGCGTTCATTGAATTGTCGGAACGGAACGTCATCGTCTTTTAAAATGATCACTCTCACTTCGTTACTCCGTTCTTCACAGTACTTGGATTAATTTTACTGGAAATAATATCGAAATAACCTCTATCTCTCCACCAATCAAACTTTAACTTTAACTTGTTTAATTACGTTAATGAATATTTTAAAAAAGGCGATAAAAAATCGTTTACGAATCTAGAGACTTAAAAAGTCACATACATGTTGGAATGTTCGTAACACTTCAATCGCGTAGCTTTATTTAATTCGAGTACGACTTCCGGTTTTAAACTGCTCTTAAGTATCATGCGTACACTGAATGGAAATGACATGTGTGAATCTTATTATTACGCCAATTTTTCTGCAGTGAATTTGTTCAAGTAAATACTGACGTTGTTAAAGCAATTAGATTATGTCATCACCGGAATGTGTCCTTTAATTTTCAAAGACAGTACCGAAAGAATACGGATAAATGGTTTAATTAACACAGATGTAACGTAATACATGATATGCATCTAAATATGCGAACAGAATATCATTGTTAGAAGGTTGCTAAGAGTCTAGAATTAATTAAATTAATGGACGAAAGTAATTAGGCAAAGCCTATATAATGATAAGTAGAGAATATGTTTAGAAAAAGTAAATGTAAGGAAAGCAGTAACATATTTTATGCAGAATTTGTAAGGAGTCACATATAAAACCTGAAACCGGTTAATTATCATAATAATTAGAAATAAATAGCTGACGAAATGTCCAAACATGCAATAAAACGTGAACGAAATTAGTTGGAAAGTTAGTCATCAGATACATACAGCAATGAATTAAACGCATTACATGTAATTTTAAGTTGCAGAATGCATCCGAGAATTAGTAACGTGATACACACACATACAACGAAGATGTTGAGGAAAATTAATACCATGTATATGATTGTTGTAGAAAATTCTATTTATTATAATTTTTTTTATATAGCTAGGATCTACTTCATATTTCCCTGAAGTAAGATTATCAAATAACTGTTAACATAAGATTAACGTAGTCATTTGGTGTTAATAAGTATAGGATATTATTTAGCGCGGTGAAACTGTAGAAAGACTGACTACCCTTCGATTTCGATGATTTTTAGATATGTTCCAGAAATCGATGTTTTGAACAACTTTTTCCTATACATATTTGGACTAGACTCGCTTAGTTTTCGGGATATTGAACTGCCGATACCGTTACAATGAATTCTGTCTATAGTCGTGCGTCTGTGGCAACGTATATATCGGTATTGGTTACCGGCAGTCTTTGACGAATATCTCGAAAACTAAACGAATCCAGTCTTATACGTATAAGAAAGAGTTGCTCGAAACATCGATTTCTACACAATATCCAAAAATCGTCGAAATCGAAGGGTATTCGTCAATCTTTCTACAGTTTCATCTTTAATGTAATAAGACGCAATAGCAATAAAATTTACGCTTTGTTTAGATTTAAACTGAATTAAGAATTTCATATAAACGACACAAATATTTCAATCGTGTTAGTTAAAAAAATAATTACTTGTACAATTATTCCATATAAGATCAAGCAAATAGTTTATCGCTTCTACCACCACCAAATGAAATGCGAGAAGATACAGAGTATTTCAACATGTTAAAAGAAACATGATCTATTAAAAGCGTTGTCGTTCAGATAAAATCATTTGAAACAAGTTTCTCAAGGTATTTTCAATTAAGAAGAACGATGACAATAACAACGTAGTGGAACAGCATTGTAAGTTGACTGATTAAAAACCTAACAATAAAAAATTGGTCGTCGCTTTAGAGAAACGCGTACCACTTTGATGTTGAAAAGCGACGGGAGGAATCGTTTAACTTCGACCGCCGCCTTAACGAATACATCGTCGAACGCAGCTCCGTTCCCATCGCCGTAATAATAACTCATTTTCCACAATGATTACACCCTGATTAGAGTATCTAGTAGCTAGCTTATGTCACGTGTTCGTTATATGGAGCCAAATAATTCAAACTTTAGGCGATAAATGAAAGTCACACAGAAATTCCAAAGCTGTTATTCCACGGGTTTTCACAGTGCGCACACAGAACCGTTACGTTGACAAGTCTGGAGACACGGACTGAGATCATTCTCCTCTTACCCTTACCTAGGTTTCGTCACGTAACACGGCTAAAGGCGCCATAACGCAGACGATTCTTCTGTGGAATTTTTTTCTAATAACAAATATCAGCTATTGCATACGAAAAAGAACGAATCCGATATGTTGACATACCGTTCCCTGGCATAATTTTGCAATTGCAATTCGTCAAACCGTCCATATACACAAACCAGTATAAATAGGCATTATAACTCGTCTGTGTTCGACTTCATTCGGCTCTGTTCGGTATATTTCTATACTTTTGGACCCTAGCGCATGCGTTTTAATAGAATAACGTATACACCATCTATGAGACATGTCGCGAATTAACATGTAGAGCGGGATTTTTTAAACTTTAGATACATCCTTGCGATCTAATTTTCAATTAACTTTATTGCGTAATCGATGTTGAACAGACGTTTAATAATTACTTTGACTTTATGCAATACGAACCTATTCCTATAATTAACAGCCATAAAATTGTAGCTTCATACTAATACTCACTTCCGCTTTCGACGCTACTTGTTGTATAAATTCTGGTTCGACCACTTCAGGTTTCCATCCGTACGAAAAGTGATTCATTCTGCTGTTGTTAAGATTTGACAGATCTTTATTCAGGATTCCGAATTATCCGTCGTTGTCAGAGTGCCGGAACTGCACGGAAATGTAAAATCAATAGGAACGTGTCACGCGTCGTACAAAAAAATCTTTTTATTATTTAGATGTATTCGATGAGAATCAGAATAAATAGCGTCGACTGATAAGGGCGTCTTCCTGAAACGTAGCGAATGATAACAACTTGCTACTTCGAGCACCAGTTTTTATGTGTTTCGACCGTACTGACACCTAACTCATTGAACAAAACTTGAAAACGTACATGCTTTTTAACGTAACTCGATGGTTTTCCGATCGATTGATAAGAAAAGATTTGCTAAATTGACCTTCGTGAGATATACGTTATACGATTCGAACTTACACATATACGTATATTACTGAACTCCGGATTTATTGTTAGTATTTCGTTGAACGTTCACAACATCACACAACGTAGATGTGGAAGATGAATGACTAACGATTTAACTACGTATACGTACATATATATGTCGTGAATTTGTGGCGAATATATCTATATAATTCACCTGTTATATACTCTTGTTTTTATTACAGTTTCGTAACGTTTCAGTTACTTCTGGCGTAACTAACCTGTCTTCCAGTTCCAAAGTGGCTCACGCTATGGATTATTGCAACGGAGCGTGATGTTGCTTTAAATTTTGTAGTTTATGTCGTTGTTGCTTGAAAAATCAATTTTCCTTATAAGAGGCCGTTGGCCAGTGAAGTGAAGGTGAAAGTGAATACATATGGTAAAATTGAAACATAATCGATTTAAAATCTCATTGATAACCGGAATTTTAATAATATCACATGCAAGTTTTTCAATAAATGCCATAGATACGAACAATTTTATATCTGAATTTTTTCAATCATAATAGTCGTCAAGTAAATAATTACAATGAATGCTCATTTGCGATATTAAAGATAATTACTCGTAACGAGGAGTTTAATGTAACCTTATTATTTTTTAATTTTACTTGAATATTAGTGAAAGTAAAAAGATTGAGTGAAAAGAAGATGGATGAGACATCATATCTTTGCGTAGTATAATGTTAAGAAAAAAATATGATGCCCTGAAAGGAAGTCATGTGAAAGTACAAGCATTGACGATGACGATGCGTCATACAGTTTTCGAGCATCGACCTCCAAATTTAGTCTGACGTATCACTACCTTGAAGTACCTAGACATTGATCCACATTGATAGTAATTATGAAACTTCAAATACAAAAGATTCTGAGTAATTTTTACTTTTCTGCATTTTTTTGTACCTCGTTTTTTTAATCAACTTCGCAACTCAAAAGAATCCATCAAAAGAGTAATCAAAAGAAATTTTCAACGTCTTCTATACAATGTACAATATTCTTTGATCTTTCAATTCTGATTCATTCGTTTCAATTGCCAAACAAAACGATCATCCAATTTTTCGAATAACATATCTAATGGTTACGAAGAACTTTACTATTGAGATATAGTTGGAAACAAGGCATAAGAAATAAGTGTTATATTCTTTTAATCATTGTGCCGCCATTATTGAAAATTAAATTATTTTCTACTATAGTAGTTGTCAATTCTCAATCGATTCGTGTATCATATGTCGATATGTAATTTCAGTAAGACGTTCGTTTAAATAAAGTATATTGGCGGATAGAGCGAATATCAATAGAAAATCAAATCGTTCACGGTACATCGGTAGTGTCACAGTGCAACATCACCATGATACGCAGAAAAGCTTTCATTCATCGTATTTTCCGGTTATCCAACGAAATTCAATTCCTCAGCGATCCTTCGGAGTAAAAGCGATGTAAACACAACAGAACTCTTCGTGTCTGATATTTAAGTTTCGTTTATACCATTAATTGCCGACAACATTTACAATATGGTCGAATGATAATGCCGAAATTTTACCACAAAATCCACGAAGTTGCACTGAATTTATCTTGTTAAACCTTTGTTAAGGTATTTTGGTACTTTAGTTAAGAAACTCAGCCACGATACCGTGGAAACATCTTCGATACAGAAATACTCGAGAAACACTGACTTTTCTTAAGAGATAGATCTCTGGAACGAAAGCATCCTCCCCGCTCGATGAACGACGGCGCGCTGTCGGCGCCACAACGCGTCGTGACGCCCAATTATTGCATATATAGAAACATATACAGTTGTGTGCAAACGCTATACCGTCTAAAATTTCTTTGTTTCGCTATGTTTTTCTTTGCTTGTTTATCTATCTAAATGTAGAAAGTTAAAAATTATGGAATTCCACTATTTATCTTGAATGACTCAAATATAACAATGATAAGTTTTAGTGTTTACCAGTCTGTTTAAATTAAAAAAAAAAATGTTCTTTCCAGATAATACCGTTCGTGGAACTATTGTTCCGTGAAATAGGCACCGTAATAATGTATATTTAGCGATTATTCTGATAAATTGAGTCTTGGGCGGAAGATCGTCAAATATCAGAGAGATGCAATATAACACAGGTAATGCAATAAGCGTAATCTGTTGCTACATCTTGCACGATGCTATAGTTTGAAAGACATTCTCGTGCCAAAGAGAATAAACGCGTTGTCTTGTAATCTTCGCTGAGATGCTTTTTGTGAAATTTAATTACGAAGATCTAAACGATATTATCCGATTCTATCGGTGCAATACTTTGGTATTGCGTGTAAAATTCAGCCAAGCACAAGGAACAAAAGACGATCGATTAATTATTAATATACCGGACGTAATAAAACCTGAATAACGAAATCCCAAGCATTTCGGTTAATGTTTCGATTTTATACGACATCTGCAAAATAAATATCGATTAAACCATTATCGTAAGTAACGTGGAAACGATATTTTGCAAAGAGAAACAGTCACTAAATGAAAGATAGGGAGGCTTTACGTTGGAAGCTGGTTTGAAATGTGGCAACAGGAAAACTGGGGAACAACCTTGGCAGTACGAGACTAAAAATACAAATTTCGTTTCACGTTATAGTCGGCATCGTGTATACGAGGGGGTTCGTTTTAGGTTAAGGCTAAATTTGGCGGCGTTCCAAATGGTGCTTGAGAAAAAAAAGGATTTCCCCTTACTGACATTATTCGAGCATCGTCCGCCGACGCGACGTCTCGACTTCATCCTCGCTTTTACCGAGTGAATATATTTCACTGGCAGTGTATTCGCTCGGTGGAATGTGTTTCAGGCGTGTAAATCAGCCGTAAAATGTTATTAAGAAGGCGGATAAAAGAGAAGAATAGAAGAGAAATTAGTTGATAAATCACCGGGTGTAGTAGTTCCTCGTTCCATTAGTTTCTCTTATCGTCTGTTTAGATATTACACCAATGGGCTTGAATGTTAGCGGTTTTAACGATAATCATTAAAAAGTATGCGACTGACCAAGCACGGACCTTGAAAACGGCATTCGCTGGATGATGGATATCACCTGAACCAGACAGTCCTCCTCGGAGCAACCGTGACAAAAGATTGTAGCGACCATATGTGGACCATGTGTCCTCTGGTGGTTTAAACAAGATGGGATTCCTACGAATAAATCACCTTTTCTGCAGAAATTAGCATCTATGCGTCTATTCGTCGTGCGAATTAGTGCGAGCCACGTGCATTCCACACTGACGTCTTATTCCCTTTTAGGAATTTCGAGTAACGCGATCTAGCACTTTTCACGCTGTCCGCGATCATACAGGCAATGTTGGACAGACGAATGATGAAAAGAAAGAAACCGAACATAATATGCCGATGATACGTCGTCGGAATATCGTCCTACAGAAAGCTTACCCTTTTAAAAATTTGTAGGTTCTCGAGTTGTCGGTGCCGTCGGCGATAACTTTCACGTAATAGTAAGAATAATTCGACATCTCTTTAATGAAGATACCGCGGTAAATATAATCGCGAGCGTACGAAACTGTAGAGTAGGTGGCGAGATTGTCGAAAGGATGGCAGAAACGCGCACTGTTCGCCGAAAACTACACTCGAATTGTCGTCTGTAGTCTGTACCCCTTCTTCTTCGTTCTATCGATGCCTGCTACTATCTGCTTGTCTGCTCGTTTGTAGTTTTCTTCGCTTATACATACCTATATTTTGAGACGCCTGGACATCTGTACGTTTCACCGAGCTATCTCAAGAATTTATATCAATATCAAGATGACAATGTTATTTCTGTTGCTCGACATTTTACGACAAAGATTTTCCGACATTACATTAGGCGTTGCGATTGTAAAGAAATTTCCGGTTAAAGCACGTGCAATGCGTGTAGAGTCTGTCGACTTTACTTACCACAGTACCATAGTGTTTTTTCCTTTTTTTTTTTTTTTTTAATAAAATTCTGAAAACCTCTCTGAAAAATATATTCAAGCGAAGAAATGGCAAGTAAAAATTGACTCGGTCTATCGAGATTGACAAATAACATACGCATCGTCTTTTCCACAAACATGTCTTTATTACGTTTCACGTACAGATATATGGTGGCTGACTTTCATACGCTGAGCGTACGCAAAGTACGTCGTCGTTGTAAGAAAAATAAAAAAGGGCTTGTGCTCAACTTTCACGTTTCGAAAAATGTACCTTTTCCCTTGCCCGTTTTTATGATAACGATCGTATACAACAAGATCGATGTTAAAATAATCAACTTTCCACCATCCATCGTTCTTTCACAAGCTAATAATCAACGAATCAACGAGGTAGGCGAGAATATTATTATTATTCATTTGTCATTTTTCGTGCACCAACAATTAGCCGGTAGGTTAATTAGCGGCAAGAACGACGACCAATTAAGTTTTCGGTACTTCGTTCGAAATCGATTTTCATCCTTTCCTTTTAACAATTAATCCCTTTGTGAAGAAATTACGACCGTTGTACGATGGTATATATATATTTTCAAATCATAATATACGGAGGATGAAGGCGATTCGATTCAGCCTCGCCTAAAATTTCCCGACAAATATATGTATGTATATATACATACATATACACGTACACATTGTATATATACGTATATATACATATAGTAGCATAGTGTGTATAGAAAGAAGGCCATAGGCTCTTTTTCTTCCTGTCATGTAAATTAAGTCTTGTATATAGCGTATTGTCTCTCCCTTTCATTCGTACTCTCTCATTGAAATTTCTTCCATGTATGTATATCACACGTTGTGTACTTCGCTTGTATGTTTAAAAAATTTCTCATATATTATGCGATTTTTGCCATTCTGACGATCGTCCTGCATATATAGTTCATAAAGAACAAGAAGGAGACCATATACGCGTGTATACGAATTTCTCGGATTAATCCTTCTGCAGGAGGAACATCGACGGTAACGGTTCATTAACAACTATATCTACATAGTTTTTCTCGATAATTTATAATATGTCTGCTGCAACTGCGATAGGATGTACGTGAGTATCCGTTGATGTTGGCTGTTACAAAGTATACGTACACATATTGCGTATATACGTGACGACGTGATGATATTTACCTCAGGTTTAACGATTCGAATGCTTTTGTTTCGTGGTTTTGTTTCGGACACAACGATAATATCTCTACGTTTTGTTTCTTCCTCTTCTTCTTTTTATTTTGTTCGTTCAACTCTTTTACATACAATATAATACGTAGATACGTTTTATAACTTTTACGTGTGTGTGTACGAAGATGCACGTGCGTTGTTACGTGCGTATACGCAGTTTCGAGAAAAGGGATTTAGTTGAATTTAATAACGGACGGTCTGAAGCTCGTAATGTTTCACGGTTATTGCAATTCCCTGTCTTCTGTGATTCGTCGACGATTTATGATTAATGTACGTCCTAATAGATATTGCGCGACCGCCCATCTAGTAAACGCAATTAAATTCTTCCCTCTTCTATGTGGACGAAAATAGCTGTTTTCGCGTTCGAAGAACAGAAAGAGAAGGCGAGGAAGGGAAAGACGAGGAAAGGAAAGGAAGGAAAAGAAAAGGGTGAGCAAATAACGCGAATTCACAAGATTCATTCACAGCAGCGTTTCTTCGGAGTACACGCGACGTGAATATTCTTCGTCGCGTATCCAGAGAAGCGACGAGGAGTCCTTGAAACGCATCGCCATCGATACTACGGTTACCGTTGCGGAACGTCGTAATGATTTGGAGTTGGTCGCATGTATCGTAACATCAACGACCGGGGAGTCCTGTCACTCCCCTTTGTACAAATCTCAGCAGGAGCATTCCTCTTCCCTTGGTAGCTCGTGACCCAGAGGATCCTTCGTGTGAAGAACAGAGAGACGATAGTTCCATCATACATAGAACTGCGATTAAACGAATTCAGGGATAAGCGTTGCTGGATTATTCGAAATAAAAGACACGATATCGAGTCTCACGAACGTATTATGCTAATCCTGTGCACTCGAATCGCTTCACTGACAACGGGCCTTCAACGACATCTTGTACACATCGGGCGATACATTTCGTCGCAGTAACTGGTACTTTCTAGAATGGAAAGTGAAGGTGGAGAGTGCAGAGGGTTACATGTGTTCCGCGTGTAAATGACCATGATTGCAAAGAATAATCTAATTTTTGTTATCGAACAAACGATAAAAAACGAACAAAGCAATATCTCGTTAAAGAAATTATCGTAACGTTTATTACGACCGCTCTGACTGAGTGGATATCGCGATTCTTTCGATATTATTCAATTTTTTTACGAGAATTCGAGAGAATTCCGAGAAAGAGAGGAGAAGCTAAGTTACTCGTTGCTCCAACGAACGAAAGCCTAAATAATTCTGTCTATCGTAACATCGCGGATAACGTTTTTTTTTTTTTGTCAAATAATCGTTCACGATTATTTGACACC